AAACAGACATATCAAAATATAATGTAGTATTTAATTCAATTGATATAGATTCAAAAAGAAATTAAATAAATGATGAAATAATACAGAAAAAGAATGAATAAATAAAGAGAACAATAAATATAAATTAATTATTATTTAATTCATATTTAAATAAATTTTAATTGGATAATGAATTAAATTAATTGAATATAGTTTATTTTCTATTTAAATATTATTATTCATTTTATTTATTTTTTATATTATAATTTTATTATTTTTATTATCTTTTTATATTTTTTTTTCTATGGTACAATTTGACAATAGTGTGATACATCATATTAAGCATTAAGGGTGAATTGTGTGGAATCGTTTTATATAACATTTATTTCATATTTTATTTATAGAATATAATAATGTTTTAAATAACATCTATGATAATAATCGTAATTAGTATATAAAACAATATTCAATTAAATGGCATGTCTATGTCCTGTTGAATGTCCTTTTGGCATGTCTGATGCCCTACCCTAATGGTATTTAAAGATAACCTCTACAGCGGTAGGGCATACAACAAATGCAAGACGGAAATAATTACAGTTTGTTGAGTGATAAATTTAAACTAATTATATTATTATTCCCCGATAGACAACAGCGAGTAGAAATTGACATGTTGATTCAAAATTATTCATCGAATTACAACTTCAAGGAACTGATAAATTTGTATGAATTTTATAACCAAATAACAAGAGGTTATAATATGAGAGATATATATAAATATCAATTGATATTCACATTTGCGATTATTGATAGAATGAAACTTTTTGAAGTTCGTTTTTTGAGTCAAGAGACTATTAATCTCCTATATCCATATATGCGGGATTGGTGGATACGTGATGGCATTGTTGATGCACGGAATGCACTCTTGGAGCTCCAAGAGAGACAAGAAGAGCTTAATCTAGAGAAGTCTTAATTTAATTTACTTCTTTTTTTTAATTTAATTAATTTTTAACATATTTTAAAGAATGAAAGACAAATTCAATTTTAACGCTTTTAATAAATATTTAATAATAAAATGAAAGTTTCATATAATCAATTAATTTTGTTACCTCATAACTATTAATCTAAAATCATAATTCGTTTCATCTCTTTTATTTTTTTTTAATGAAAGATTATTTAAACTTTTCACATTTTAAACTTATATATCAAATGAGTTATAGAAAACCAAATAACTTAAAGAAAACATTACAAGAAGAATTAAATTTATTGAGAAATAATCGTCGAAATACAAGACAAAAAGAAAGAAGAATACAACAAATAGAAGAAGAAATAAGAGAAATAGAAGAAAAGAAAGAAGAAAATATCTTTCATGAACATACATCAGAAGTTGAAAGAGAAAGAAACAAGAGAGAAGAAAGAGCAGAGAGAAGAAGAGCAGAAAGAAAAGAAGAAAGAAAAGAAAGAAATAAACAAGAAGAAGAAAATGAAAATATTAAAGAAAAAACAGCACTAATAACAATTAATGATAGAATTAACAATATTAATAAAAGAAATCTATTTCATGAAAATTCCAGTGATGAAGAATATCAAAGATCTAAAAGAGAAGAAAGAGCAAGAGAAAGAAAAGAAAAAAGAGAAAAATTATTAAATAGAAACCGACATATTGAAGAAGAACAAGAAGAAGTTAATCAGAATGAACAAGAAATTAATCAAAATGGAAATTCTAATGATACATCAAATGATGAATTTCCAGAAATAATTCAAAATGAAGATATTGAAAATATTCCAACACCACAAGAACAAGAAATACTTCAAACGATCGAAAGAAATCCAAAAAGGTCTTATGAATTTTATAAATCAAAATTATTACAAAGCAATGAATATTATGAAAAAAATGAATGGGAAAATATCGTTAAAGAAACAAAAAGAGCAGTAAAAATATTAGAGGAAAATAAACAACCATCACAAGTTATAATACATTTTGGAAATGGACGTGTTATAATTAAACGACCATTTATGATAAATATGGAAAATGTTAATATTGAAGAATTTATAGGAAAGTTAATTAATTATGATGAAGATATTAGTGAATTTTGGAAACGATATGATGATGAGGACAATCCACCAATCCCACCAGGATTACTTGTAAGACAAATTATTGTAAAAAAGTTAGGAGAAGTAGAAAGAAAAAGAATTGAAGGAGGATTTTTTGGATATTATTTAAAAGAAGAGTGGGAATGTATAGCATCAATATTTGAAAAATACCAAATTTATACAAAAAATACTATTCGTCTTAGCGAAAATTGTTTTGTTAATTGTTTAAAAGAATCAGGAGTAATTGATGATATAAGTCTTGAAACAATTAGAAGTATGATAAAAGGACAAACAATTAGCAAAAAGAACATTAAAAAGATATGTGAAAAGTATGGATTTAGAGTTGAATTAAAATATTATAGAGATAAAGAAGAAAAAGTTATTAAAAAAGAAATAATTGGAACAGAAGGAAATATAATTCGTATGTTTTTATTTAGATGGAAGAATGGACAACATTATATTAATAATGAGAAAATACCATTAACAACATTTTTCATTAAAAATTTTAAAGAAATAAAGAAATATTGTGAAGAAAATAATAAAAACATTAACAAATATTATTTGACATATAGAAAAAGAAATGGATGTTACGAAACATTATTACAAAGACAACTAAAAGCATTTAGAGCAATACAAATATTAAAAGAAGAAGGAGCATTTGAAGAAATTAGTAAAGAAGATATTATAACACAACACCTTTATGATGCTGATAAACTTCAAGTTAAACTTACAGAAATTACACCATATGAATACAAAATATGTGAAAGTAAAGAAATAAGAGAAATGGAATATGAGAATGTATTTTATGCAGATTTTGAATGTATGGTAAAAGGAGAACATCATATTCCATTTTGTGTTGTTGTAATTGATAAGAAAGGAGTATGGAATACATTTTATGGACTAAATTGTGGAAAAGAATTTATAGAATATTTATCTAATTTTAAAAATCCAATATGTTATTTTCATAATCTCGGATATGATGGGAGATTCTTGGCACAATATGGAATAATTGGGATTACTAGAAAAGGGTCTAATATTTATAATATGGTTATAAAAACACATAAAGGAAAGAAAATAATATTCAAAGATACATTAGGACTTATTCCAACTTCAATATCAAATTTTAAAAGATTCTTTAATTTAGAAGGAGAATATGAAAAAGAAATATTTCCATATAATTATTATGATTATAATACATTAGAAGTAGGAACAATAGAAGGATGCTGGAATAATGAAACACCAAAATGGGAAGAAAGTAAAATAAAAGAATTTAAAGAGAAGATAAATAAAACAGGATGTTTATTAGATAATGGGAAATTTAATACAAGAAAATATTGTGAATATTATTGTAAAAGAGATGTTGAGGTATTAAGAAAGGGATTTATGAAATTTAAAGAAATGACTAAGAAGAATTTGGAATTAGAATGTGAAGCATTTTCTACAATTAGTGCATTATCATATTATTATTTCAAAACAAAATGTTTTAATGATGGAAGGATTTTTGAATATAGTGGATGTTTAAGAGATTTTATAAGACAAGCAATTATAGGAGGAAGAAATATGACAAATCAAAATCTTAAATGGAAAGTTAAAGAAGACATAGTAGATTTTGATGCATGTTCACTATATCCATCAGCAATGAAAAGATTATTAATTCCTACTGGTTATCCTAAAATGATTACACAATCCATTCAATTCATATTTGAACATTTAATGGATGAACAACAAATGATACCAACCAATGATAAATTCATATCATATTTTGTAGTTCGTATAAAGATTAATAAAGTAGGAAAAATAAGAAAGATGCCTATAATAGTTAAAAAAGTAAAAGGAATTAATGAATATGTAAATGAATGTCTGGAAATGGTAGTTGATTCTATTTATTTAGAAGATTTAATAAAATATCAAGAAATAGAATATGAAGTAAAAGAAGGAATATATTGGGAAGGAGAGAAAACCGATTTATTAAGTAAAGAAATCGAAAATATATACAATATAAGAGCTAATATGAAGAAAGAAAAGGATCCAAATGAAATTATATATAAATTAGTAATGAATAGTTCATATGGTAAAACTATTCAAAAACCAATATTAAAAGAAACAAAATTCTTTAGATCACAGAAGAAATTTGAAACATATTGGGTTAGAAATTATACTGATGTTCTTTATGGAGAACCATTATTTGGTTCAGAAATATGGATTATGGAAATTAAAAAACAAATAGATGATTTCTATGTTCCTGACATTATAGGAGCACTCATTCTATCAATGTCTAAAAGAATTATGAATGAATTAATCTATTTATGTGAAGATAATAACATATTAGTGTATTATCAAGACACTGATTCTATTCATATTAGGAAAAGAGAATTAAAATTATTAGAAGAAATTTATTATAATAAATATCATAGAATATTAGTAGGTACTCAAATGGGACAATTTCATTCTGACTTTCCTAAAGTAAAAGGAAAAGATAGTTGGGCTAAAGAATCAATCTTCTTAGGAAAGAAAGCATATTTAGATATTCTTACGAATGAAGATGGAGTTGAAGAATATTTAATAAGAATGAAAGGAATACCAGCAAGTGTTATACGAGGAGAGGCTAAAGAAAAATTTGAAGGAGATGTTAAAGCACTTTATGAATATTTATATGAAGGAGGAGCACTTAGTTGTGATCTTTCAAAATATGGACCTCATTTTATCATTGAAAGAGATTTTAAAGTCTCTACAAATGAAAACTTTAAAAGAACAATTAAATTTTAAATGAAATTTGAATCAATTAATTTCTTGTTCATAAGGTGATAAAGATGATAAATTTCTTTTATAATATTCTTTTGTTACTCCATTTTCCATTTCTTTCACTTTATTTATTCTTGATTCATTATAATTATTATTTGTTTGTTTTATTTCTTTTTCTTTATTTAAAATAACATCATTATAAAGTGTTTTTCCATAATCTTTAATAATATCTTTTATTTTCTTTCCTTCACTAATTTCTGTGAGTGCTTTTCCATTTGTTTCATACCATTTTGGTATTCTTTCTAATAATTTTCCTATTGTTTCACCACCTGGAAGAAATGATGCTATTCCTTTTGAAATAGGAATTAATTTAGTTGTTATATTACCTGTTGTTTTATATAACTTCCCTCCTATTCCTGTTATTTTCTTTCCTGCTGTCTTAATTATATTCTTTAACTTTTTGATAAATCCAAATTTCATAACAATTAATTAAGAATAAAGAGTTAATTATTTATAGATAATCTTCAATATCATAATCTTCATAATCTTCTTCATTATTCATTTCACTTTCATTACCATTGAGTCTTTTAGCAAATAAAGCAGATTTAGGTGATACTCCTGTTCTTCCTTTAGGTTTTAATGAAATATGATCAGGTAATTGATTAATAATTTTACTTGCTGTTTTAGTAATATCATTTGGTATTTCATTTTTAACTTGATTTAAATATCTTTTAGTTGCACCAACAACATTTTCACCTGATGCTATTCTATTTAATACTTCACTTGTAGGTTCTGCTATTTTACTAATTACTTCTGTACCTTTTTTAATTATTTCACCACCTGGAATAAAATCTGATGCTATAGAAATAAGTGGTTTTGCTTTTTCAATTACATTCCCACCAAATTTCGCACCAGAAGCTAATAGTGCTGCAACTTTCTTTAATCCTTCTTTAAATCTCTTCCAATTACCGAACTTCATGAATGAAATAAAAGATTGAACTAAGAAATCAAAATAAACAAGATGAATTATAATGTTATTAAAGCATTAGATCAAGAAGAAACAGGTGATCTTATCAAATACTTCAATTATACAGATGGAATACTTGAAGCTAATTCAGGTGTTCATGATAATAAATGTTTATCAATAGATTCATCTGATCCACCATGTCCTGTACAAAAAGGAATGTATACTAAAGTAAAATTGACAGATGAATCAATTCAAATTACAAATATAGATAAATCATCTATTACTGCATTAGTTAGAATTCAAATTAAACCAACTGAACAATTTTGGACACAAATAGAAGATAGTCAAGAAGGAGATATTTCAGGATTTCAAACAGGAAGATTAACAGCAATAGAATATTTTGTAGGATTAAAATCATCAACACATTTATTTGATGCATATCGTGTATATTCAAGAAATAAGAAAACAGCATGTGAACAAACAGAAGCATTATATGAGAATGCAGCTATTAGAATGTTAAAAGCACAAGAAGAATTAGATTATAAACCAGGAATTTATACACAATGGGAAGCAGCATATAAACATGAAGATAATGTATGTGGATGTTATTTTAATCTTCAAGAAATTATTAAAGCACCAAATAATACTATTGAAAAAGAATTTGAAGTAATTATTCCATTAGATGATTTATTACCATTTGCTGCTATGAAAATGTTTCCTAATGGAATTTTTGGAAATTTAACACTTGAAGTTAAAATGGCAATTCAACAGAATTTTGTTATTTGTCAATGTAATCAAAATACTATTATAAATAAAATTAGTAAACAAATCAATTCCCCAGTTAAAGGAAATTCATTAGTACTTAGTATTGGAATTGATCAAATGAAAGAAAGAGATTATTATGGAGTATTAAATAGTAAACATGAGAATTGTTCATTTACACAAATTGGAGATACATTTATTACATCAATGATGTCATTACAAAAAGATAGTAATCATGAATTAGGTGTTCTCACTCCAAAAAATATTAAAAGTTGTTTTACTATTACAGATGGAAGTTTAAGATATTGTAGAACAAATATTAATGGATTTAATATTAAAGATAGTGTAATGAATGAATTAATAGAAAAATATCAAACAAAAGAATTAATTATTCCATCACAATATGTTGATTATCAAGCATTTTCACAAAAACCATTAAGTAATGGTTTAAAATGTAATACTACTTATGCTATGACTAATGTAAGTTCTTTAATGTTTTTATTCCCTAGAACTTCAAATGAAGTAACATGTAGTAGAAATCCTTTATTTGCTTCTTTACAAATGCAAATTGATAATAAACCTTATCCTGATAAACCTTTCTCTACTGTTGAAAAATCTCATACTATTTATAATATTACTAATGCTGGTTTAGATAATTTATTCTCCCCTTCAAAAGAATTTGCTTATTCATTAGAATGTAATGAACTTGATCCTTCATTTGTTAATAATTATAATCCTGAAATTCAATATGCACTTCCACTTAAAGATAATACTTCATATTGTTTCTTATGTAGTACAGAAAGATTAAGTGGATATGGAACATTTTGTGATGGAATTACTAAGGATAATGCACATGTAACACTTACTGCTACTTTATTACCATTTAAACAACTTCATCCCTATTTGAAAAATCCATGGACAGAAGATATAAATGATAGATGTCCAATTATGCTTGTATGTCAAGATTGTTTCTGGAGATGTACTGTTCAAGGAGGATGTGAATATATTTGTAATAACAAATATTTTGTTAAAGAAAAAACAGGAACAGATTAAAATTAAAAATTAATTCATTTCTTTCTTAAATTGTTCATCTCTTTATTTCTTCATCATTCCAAATATCAAATGGTGTTTTCGAATCAATAAAATAACAAAAACTTTGATTTGGTGATGATTGAACTATATCTACTGCATTTTTATATGTAAGTGTTCCATCAATATAATTTAATATATACACTCCAACAGTACTAACATATTCTTTAGTCGTGAATATCATATATCCATTACTATAATATTTACCATAATCTTCTAATTTATTAATAGTAGATGAATTTCCTGAATCAATTCTATTTGAATTAAAGTAAATTTTTGTTTTCTTTGGCATATCGGCATCATTATTTATCATAAACATAAATTGAAAGATATACATTTTATGATCCGTACTTGTGTTTTTAAAAGTTTTTGATGAATCGGTTCCCCATGACATTAATGTTGATAAAGGAAATGTGTATGTAATATTCTTCAAATCTTTAATTCCAATTGTGTTAATTATATCTGCTTGTTTAATTGTTGTATTTCTTGATATTTCTGTGTTAATATAAGATGTTAAAGATGTCATTTGTAATAATGCTTCTTCATTAGAATAAAATGGTGAGTATAATGAAGTATTAACAAGAGATGATAAAGATATTAATTGACTTGTTAAATTATTAATTTCATTCATATTTGTTGTATTTAATGTTGATAATTGCGATACATCATCTCGAATATCATTAATATATGTATTTGTTTCTTTCATTTTCTCTTTCATTTCATCTATTTCTTCATTTGTTGTTATATTCTTAACATTAATTGTTGTTATTCCATCTGTTGTTTTAATTGTATCAAGATAAAATGTGTTGTTGTTGAAATAACGTGTTGTTAAAATATTATTTTTATTTAAATATTTTGAACCAATTGCTTCCATTTAATAATGTAAATTAAGTTCTAAGATAAAATATTCATCCCAAAGTCCAACTGGGAAAATACTCTTTCCTTTATAATCTTTAAACCATATTTCTATTCTTGTTATATTTTTATTAATATTGAAATGTTTTGGTGTCATATTTCCATATGTTGAAAAACATATCATTTGATCATTTTCTGGTGAATCATAATTAAATGATCCATGACAACTAACTCCAATATCTAATTGTCCATTCAAATTAAAATATACAAAATTCATTACTTCTATTGTTTTAGGATAATTTTCTGATGTAATAAATTCCCATGGTAATTTCACTTTCCATTTACCTGTTGTTTTGTTTGGAGATGCATTTTCTCTTGTTATAGTGAAATATCTTTGATTACTCATTAATATGTTGTTTTAAGATGAACTCAATATTCATCTAAACTAAAAATATTTATTAAATAATTATCATGTCAGTTGAAACTATTCAAAATCGTTCAAATACTATGGAAGAAGAATCAACCAAAGAAAATTCATCAATCACAACAATTCCACAATCACCTACTCAAAATCAATCATCTGGTACTTCATCACAACCAACACAAAATGATAAGAATGATACTATTGGTTATTTAAACTCAATGAAATATACTAAAACTAGACCATATTTAGAACATCTTATGCAAAGTATAAATAACATACCTAATAGTTGGTATATCAATAATCAATTAATTTATGTTCCTATTCCAGATTCAATACAAGATTTTAAACATAAATCTATTTCATCTCAAGTTAAAAATTATCTAATTACAATGCTTGGTAGTGATGATAATGGAATGAACAAAAGACTACAAAAATTAGTTCAAATTCTTAATACTAACTTCAAAAATATTTATAATTCTATTCAATATTCTATTACACAATATATACAAATGTTTACGAGTTATATTTCATCAGTGTTAAACAGACCAATAATGAATTGGGATCTTAAAGGAATGTTTTATTTAATTGATAATGGAGATAATTATGTTAATAATCCAATAATGATATTATGTGATAATTTAATTTTATCAATCCAACGATCAACCATTATTAAAAATGCTAAATCAAAAGGTGATAATAGAGAATTTAATATTGAAAATGAATATAAACAAGCTAAAGAAGTTGGAAGAAAACAATATATACATCTTGCTGGGTTACGTGATGATATTTCAAATAATAATGGATTTAGTAAATCATTAAATGTAGGAAAAAGAAAACAAAAATCATCAAAATATGAAAAAACAGAAAGAAAATTTTCATTTCATTCATTCTTTATTCTAGGTATGACTAAAAATCAAATTATTCAACATTCATTATTTGGTGGAAAAGAAGGAGCAAGTGGTTTAGCTCATTTAATAAAAGCAAAAGTAATTCCTGATTGTGTAAGTTCAATATGGGTATGTTGTGTTGATAAAAGATATGAAAATGGAAGAAATGGGAAATTTTCTGTATCTAAACAAAATATTACATGGTCAGGTGGAAAACTTAAACCAGATATAGATGATGAAAAGGGATTAACAAAATATTTAATTATTTATTTATATGCTAAAGATCATGAGTATATGAATAAAAAATAATAATTCATTTATCTTTTTATAATTCTTAAATCTCCTGTTAAATTATCTATTTTTAATACTTCATTTTGATTTATACTTTGATATAAATAATAAGCAACAGAATTTGTAGCTGATCCTGCTGTTTGTCTATAAATATAACTAAAATTCTCTTTAGAATATCCTTTAAATATTATAATAGTTGCAATTTGTGTTTTAAATGATGCATTTAATGCCTTCCATATATGTAAATTCACAATAATTGTTGTTTTCAAATGTCTTAATCTTGTAATAATTTCTCCCCATGTTTTGTCTTCTTTCATTAATGCAAATGTTGCATCTTCTAATATAATTAATAAATGTTTTTCTTGTGGTTGTTTATAATATTGCATTAATGCTGGCATAAATTTTTCATAATTCATTCCATATATTGGTGTTTTAATAAGTCCTTTAAGTTGATTAAATGTTTCATCTTCTCCTGCATTTTGTGATACATAAATAATCGCTTCATATTGATGTTCTATTTTATTGAGTTTTGCTAATTCTTTCATTATAAATGTTGTTTTCCCTGCTCCTTGTTTCCCAATAATAATATTAAAACTATTATAATAAAAGAAGATTTGTCGATGAACTTTTTTAATTTGATTCTCTCCTTTAATATTACTTAATCTTTCTTTAATTTCTTTATCTATTTCTTCTTCTCCAATATCATCATCTTCATCATCTTCATATTCTTCTCTATATTCATTTGTATTATCATCTTCAAAATTATCAAATTCCATAAACTAAATTTATAAAGATTCAATTATTTAATAGTTTGTTTGGAAAACTTCTAGTCTTTGTTCTAATAGTCCATTTCGTATTTCTTCATTTGTTTTCATTTCTTGATTATACATATTTCTTATCTTCTCTATTTCTTTTCTTAATCGTTTATTCTCGGAAATAATATCTTCCATAAGATCATTCAAATTATCATTTAGTTGTCTTTTAATATACTGATTCATCTTATCTTTTTGATTTCTTGTTTTCTTGGGTGCTGCTTCTTCTATTGTTGGATTAGTTGCTCTTATTAATACTGGTGGTAATTCATTATTTTCATTTGGTTGTGTTTCAAAAATGTTTTGTTGTGTATTGCTCATGTTATTCTTGTTTGTTATTTCATGTTTTCTTTTCCTTTAAATATTATGTTGTATTATTCTTATTATTATCCTTTCTATTCTGTATTATATTCATCATTTAGGGCCCTTGTTTTATCATCATATATACGTCATTTGAAACTCATTATTCATTTGAAACATGACTACTTTAAAAGATATTCTTATTACACTTGCTGCTTATGAAATAGATCAACCATCATTAGAAGAAGCAATCAAATTACAAAAACAAATTGGAAATTTAATCCCATCAATTCATGAAGAACATCAGAAAAGATTAATAAAACATGCATATTGGAAAATTGTATGGATAATAAATACATTAGCACCATGGGATAATAAAAATTAATTGATTATTTTATTTGAAACTTTCATTTTATTATTAATATTTATCAAAAAGTATTTAAATTAAATTTATTTTATCTTTCTTTAAAATGTCTTAAAAATTAATTAAATAAAGAAAAAACTAATAAATTAGTTTAAAAATTAAAACCATTCAAATCTTTAAGAGATGAATGGTCTTCTTGGAAATTGAAACTCCAATGATTGTTCACTCCCTCAGTTATTCTATGAATTGACGATGGATCTTCAAACTCTTCATCATCAGACTCTTCAAATTCCATTTCATCATCCTCATCCTTATCTTCTTCTAATTCCTCGACAAGATTATTAGTAATATCCTTTTCTAATTCATCCTCCTCCTCTTCTAATATTTCTTCATTGTTATCTTCTAATTCCTCGACAAGATTATTAGTAATATCTTTTTCTAATACTTCCTCCTCTTCTAATTCATCCTCCTCCTCTTCTAATATTTCTTCATTATTATCTTCTAATTTCACTGTAGCATCATCAATAAAACTATTCATTTTTAATTCTTCCTCATTATTTTCTGTGTAATCATCGGTTTCATCATTTGTGCCGTCTGTATGAACTTCCTTATGTCTAAGTTTCATTCGTCTTACTAATTTGCTTTCCGCTTCATTCCATTTTGAAATAAATGGAGTTATATATTTTAAATTCTCAATGTGTAATGGGTTTTGTTCATCTAATAATACAATAACATACCACGATAAAAATTCTATAAATGTCTGCCTTAGCCAGAAATCTTCATTAATATCAATTTTTTTAATACAAAAATTCATAAGGTTAACTATATTGAGATTGTCTTTTAATAAAATACTTTTTCTAAGTGATTTTAAGATAGTTATAAAATCACAAAGTTTAAAAAATAGATACTCATTAAGGCTCACATTGTAATTTCCATGATTACTTTCAAAAAGATTTTTCCGTAGGGTTTTAAAATCTTCAATAGTATTATTTATTTTATTAATGAGTTTAATACCGTGAGATTTCAAAGACACATGAGCGTATTTTGGAAGTCTTTTAGGAGAATTGTGTCTAAAGTAATATGAGCGCTTTTCCGAATGATTGGAAGATATTTCTTTTTTGGTTTTTTTTACTTGAGTATATTCATGAGGAACATTAAATATTTTGGTAATAGCTAATTCATTTGGTGATGTATTATTTAAAAATTGATCTTTATTAAATTCGGCTGCTTCTTTTTGAAGATATGTAAAACGTCCTACAATATCATTTTGAGATAAAAATTGTTCATATTTAATAATGTTACCTTCAAAAACACTAACACTAGTCATAATAAATAAATAATTAATGATTAATAAACATTTTGAGATTGATTAAAAAGCAATTTTAATTAAATAGTAGAGGCGAACTTTAAAAGATTAGAGTTGAATTTGGAGGTGAAATTAAGAGATATGAGACCAACAATTATTAGATATGAGGTAATAAAAATAAATGATATTTAAAACAACAATTGTGATTATCTAAAAATAGAATATTCTATAAATAAAATATGAAATAAATGTTATATAAAACGATTCCACACAATTCACCCTTAATGCTTAATATGATGTATCACACTATTGTCAAATTGTACCATAGAAAAAAAAATATAAAAAGATAATAAAAATAATAAAATTATAATATAAAAAATAAATAAAATGAATAATAATATTTAAATAGAAAATAAACTATATTCAATTAATTTAATTCATTATCCAATTAAAATTTATTTAAATATGAATTAAATAATAATTAATTTATATTTATTGTTCTCTTTATTTATTCATTCTTTTTCTGTATTATTTCATCATTTATTTAATTTCTTTTTGAATCTATATCAATTGAATTAAATACTACATTATATTTTGATATGTCTGTTTGTATATTTTATTCTTTTATTGAATTTTCTTTTGGTTATCTTCTTCTTTTCTGTTATTCTTTTCTACTTATTCTTTGTGATATATTATTTCTACAACAACGAAAAAAGCAAATAATAGAAAAAAGAAGAGAATGAATGATATAAAAGAATAAAAATAAAGTAAAAAGTAGAAGGAGATGAAGAAAGAATAAAAGGAGAAAGGAGAGAATATAAAAAGAAAGAAGATAAAGTGTAATAAAACAAAAGAGATGATAAAAGAAGAAAAGAATGAAAAAAATAAAGGATGCAAATTTCATTGAAACAAATAAAAAAAGCGCAAAATTTAATGATGCAAAATTTAATGATGCAAAATATTTAGCAACATTTTTATTGATGCAAAATATTTTGAAATAAAAATAAATCATCATTTGATATTATTAATATATTTGATAATAAATTATATTATATATTAAATACATCATATTTCTTTATTATTTATCTTTCTTTTTATTATTTCATATATTAAATTATTATTCATTCATTTATTATTTATATTTCATTTATTAAATAAAATGAAAATGAAAATGTAAAATATCAATCAATTAAATATTCATGAATAATAATTTATGAATATTTAATAATTGAAATAATAAATAATAAAGTAACAATAATGATATATTCAATATATTCTTTATTTGATTTGTTCAATATTAGATTATTCTATTTCATTATTATTTCATTATTTTATTTCATTATTTTATTTCATTATTTTATTTCATTTAATATTTGTTTTAAAATCAAATAAACAATAATATTGATATTCATTCAACATATTAATTTAATATAATAAATATACACAACATTTCAGAATAAATAATAAATAATTAAGAATGAAAATATTGAATTATTCAATATTTTGTTCAACATAAAATCAATAAAACATATATTTTGATAATACACAAATGAAATAATAAAGAAATATACAATACTCAAGAATTAATAAAAAAAGAAATAAAAAGAATAAATGAATATAATATTGATAAATAATAGAAGAAAGAAATATAAAAACAACGAAAAACAAATAATATAAAAAGAAGAGAAATATATAAAAGAATAAAAAGAAAGTAGAAGAAGAATATAAAAATAATAAATCACAAAGATGTAATAAAAGAAGAAATAAAAAGTGTAATTTTAATGTAAAAATTAGAAATATTCAATAAAAGTGTCTAATTTAATGATGTAAAATGATTAATATTATTTTATTAATGAAAAATATTTTACTCTTTTTATGTTTATTATTTATATGTATAATTTCATCATGATGTTTATTATATAATC